TTTGTTTTTGTTTAAGAAAATAATTATATCAACATATGGTGAATATATATACGTATGTCGCGATGGAGGAGAATTAACATACCCTAAAAATGCTAGTTGCTTTTGTTGAGTCTCCTAGAAGTCGCTGGTTATCGAATTATATGTTTCATTCTAAAGTAATTTAGCATATTTGTATATTTCCACGCCCTTGATGTTTTCGGCGGCATCTTGTTATACTATAATCCTCTAACACAGGTCTATTAAAATGAGGTAATTATAACTCAGGTTTTCAAAACAAGTACCCCCTGGCAATTAAAGCCATTGATTAAACTAATCAAAACAAATCGATCCTATTTGTGAACCACTAGAGCAAGCCTAACGGTAATTAAATTAGGGAAATGTGTCAATATACATTTACAAATAACATAAAAATTATCTTATACGTATTAAATATGAAAAATGTATTTTATCCGAGTAACCGAATAGCAGTTTTACTAACCGATACTTGCATCATTCGACGGTTAACCGGTTAACCGGGTACTCGTTGCCAACACTAGTATTTTATAATTCATCATACATTCAACTTCTACTTACCTCTCAACGCTAACAAATGGCTGTTTGTGGTAGGGCTGTGTATTGAGCAAAACATTTCGATATGTCATACGATACAGTATTTTTTAAAGCGATATGCGATATATTGGATTCTTAAACAAGTCCATCAAAAAAGTCTTATATAGTCATTTAATGCATGAATTTCATAAAAAACTAAGTGTTTTATAATCTAGCTATTTCAAAGTTCTTGCCTCAATGCTACTTCAAATAACACTTCAAATTAAAACTTTTAATGAATGAAAAATCAGCATGTTAAAATAAAATTATCTATGTATTTTGTAATAGTCATGTAAGTTGTGCTATGTCCTTACTGATTATATTTTATTGCTCAGTTTTAATTTTTAAAATTGAATATAATTATGTTTAGTGATTAAAATTCCCATCTTTTTTCACAGAATTAGAAGAAAAATGTCTGCTGAAATGGAACTTTTTTAAACTGACATTAAAAAATTATATACAGGACTGTTTCTGATCGTTAAAAGGTAAACAAAGCATCAAATATAGGAGTTAAATATATGGATTATTATAGGATACCATTCTAAAAGCCAGAGAAAGCTTAAACTACACGAAGTAAATACCTTCGGTAGCGACAAAAAATTGTTGGCATAAATCTGAAATCGAAGGTTTTTACAACACTTGGATCTGTAGCTCTCTGCTATATCTGTCCGAATTTTCTCAGAACCCCTGACCCAGGGGCCATGAAATTCACAAATTTCGGAGGAGGCAGCCTTATTCAATATAACTATGCACTTGGTTAGATTATTTAATGTCTAGGAGCAAAGAAGAAGAATTTTCAAAGAATATATGCATTTTCACTATATAATCAATAAAGCCCCGCCCTAGCACCAGAACCCCTGACCCTGGGGTCTCGAAATTCATAATTTTGGAAGAGGCAGCCATATATATTCAACTTAACTATGCACTTGGTTAATTTATTTAATGCCCAGGAGCAGAAAAGAAGAATTTCAATGAAATAATGCATTTTCACTATATAATTTATTTTGCCCCACCCTAGCACTTAAGAACCCCTGACCCTAGGGCCATGAATTTCTCAATTTTGTTAGAGGACTTAATGCTCATTACATTCATGCCAACAGTTTGCATGCTTGATGTCCAGGAGTAATGAAGAAGATTTTTAAAGATTGCACTAATTTTAGTGGTTTTGGCCCCACCCCCCAGGCCCTAGGGGGACAGGGACCATGAAATTCACAATTTATGTTCCCCTTCACCCATATATGCTTTGTGCCAAAATTGGTTGAAATTGGTTCAGCGGTTTCAGAAAAGCTGAAAATGGTCAAATGCTAACGCATGATGCACAACGACGGACAAAAAGGGATAGCAATAGGTCACCTGAGTTTACTCAGGTGACCTAATTAAAAGGAATGACTCTAATTCTTGGCCAAATTATTTGAGTATAACTGGTTTGGGTCAGTTTATGCTTTTTACACTTTACATTGTTTCAACAAATAAAACGGTGTACTTACAACTGTTTGCAAAAGAACCAGCACTGCACACTGCACAAGTCACATAGTGAACTGTACAATTAGTTGACAGCTCATAACCTATACCTCTGGCCTCTGATATCAAATGCAACAATACAATCCAGCTGATGATTTTATCTGAAAGGAACAACAGTTTTAGGTACATTTGCTATTATATGTAATTGATAAAAGGTGACATCAGTTATAGATAAATCACATTATGCAAGCAAAAGGGACTTGACATTTGCAATTGTCTTGACCGTTTCTACATTAAAGCAATACGAGCTGCAACTTTGATGTCAGAATTTTTTGTTGTAAAATTGTATTAAACTATTTCAATGACAGAACAAAGAATGTTTATAAATTTCTATTGTTCACATTTGCGATGGAAGAACTATTTATAAACGTATAAGCTTTGATTGAAGCAAAATTCAATATTGTTGCAGTGTTTGAAATAACCGTGCGCCAAACCGCCTGAGACGCACAAATTTTGTCATGGGCGAACAAATTTGCACGTATTGACGCCGGATGAGACCATATAAACAGAGGTCTCGTGTCGCAGTCGGTGCTGGCATGAAAAAGACCCCACAATGCTCAATGTCCGTAAGTGCCAACTATAGAACAAAATTTGTACCTCGATCTCCACTGGCAAGTGGTGGCGTATCCATACATGTATGAGTGAAAATTCTTGAGAGGGACATTAAACAACATACAATCAATCAATCTTTCTAACAAGACCTTTCCTTAGGTACCCCAAATTTGACCTCTTGGCCTGGATCTTTGAGTTTGCTCCACTTTTACAATAAATTATCAAACTTAATACCTAGCCATAACTTTTGAATAGTTGGTGTTAGGTCAAATTATCATGACCTTGACATGACTATGCTTTATTTTACATGGCATATTGGTTTCAAAGACAATAATTTATGTCTAGCTCTATATCAATAATGTGTTTAGAACATTTAAAGATATATAAGCCATACCAATTTGTTTTTTGCTCTTCAGTCGACCCATGCACTCATATTTAATAAACAAAACTACAAATTCAATTGTTTCAGCTAAAATCTGATCCTCCAACATGTTTTTTTTTACACTTTCATGTACATGCAGCTGTACTTTCATGTATCCTTGTATCAAAAGGAAATAAAATAACTTGAACACATCGATAAAATTCTTTGAAACCAATATATTAAGATAGTTCACTCAAAATGAGGAACTACCTGCCAGCTCAAGGTTAAATCAAAGTACTCAGAAGTACAGAGAGCCGGTCTCATTTACAGAGTAGAATGATTTCTTACATGAGGCCAAAATAAAATTATAGTTTGTTTGGAATTGCCTCCCGCCTCATTGAAATGCCCCCTCCTGAAAAAATTTTATTGATCAAAAGTAGGAATTTTTTTTTTATTTGATCAATTTTTTTGCCCATTACATGTAACACATGCACCATACAAAACACTGAAATATAGTGTAGATATCTATGTAAAATTATGGGTTTTTTTGTTAATTGTAGATATTTTGTTTAAAGTCAGAAAATGTATTTACTGTTTACTCAGAGATATTTATAAAAAAAATTAAAATTTTTCTTCCATTTAAAACAAAAAAAAAAATTTCCCTCCCTCCCTCCTCTGTCTGAAAACCTTCAGGCGGCAATTCTAAACAAACAATTTTTTAAGGATGGCCTGAATCACGTTTATATTCTGAAGAAAAAATTATTTTAAAACTCAATATAAATGATAAGAAACTGACAGTGAGTTTTTCAATCCTAATACCACGGTCCGATTTTGTCAGAATCAGAATTAATCTGGTACCGCAGCTGAATGTAAACAAACAGGTCAGCCTGGTTCCCTCTCCTGCTTTACCTCGTATGTGTAGAGAACTACAGTAACACTGATTATCAAAAATCCTTACGCTAATGAACTATGTTCTTTGACTTATGAAGTTTTCAGTCATTACTACTAATGTTTATTTTACATAGATAAAACTTGTTTTATTTTTGTTGCTTTATTTAGCGTTTGTATTATCTCAAAAGCGGTTGAGAGTAAGAACTATATTTTTGCACGTAACTGTAAAATGGCGACTATGGGGTCAACATCCTGCCTTGAACAGGATCCCATAAGCCGGCAATTGCTCTTTGAGCAATAAGCCCGGCTAAAAAGCTGTTAGATCAATGATGTTCTGTACATCAACATTTACTAAGACTATGAGTATAAAATTTGCTTAAAATATCTTGAACCACGTACTTCAATGAGTAAGCTATATAAGCTTATCTACTTCTTTAGTGTGAAAAATGCAAACATTGATGATTGAGGTAATTTTTGTTTTTGTTTTGTTTCTTTCTTTTAATTTTTCTGTCTAACGTTAAATAGCGACAAGGTAAATCATTCAGAAAACTCTAAAGCTCATAAGTTATGAGTATGTGAAAACAGAAGTCTTCAACATGTTCAAGGACTTGCATTTGATAAATACCAGTGAATACAGCTGTTTGATCTAGCTCCCACCTCGGAAAGGGCATTTAGTGTAGTCGATAATATTAACCAATGAATAACGTTTAGAAAAAATATATACCTTTTCCAAGCGTGCAACTCAAATAAACAAAATTGAAAGACACATTTAAAAAACTATTAAACTTACAACAATTGGTAAGAAATGTCATTTCCATTTCCAACCCATGATCACATTGTTTTGTCATGTGATATGAAACCTAAAAATAACCCCGTTTAGTACCCTTCCGATATTGAGGAGAGGATACCAGTTTATAAATAAAGAGACGTTTTATCATGTTGTCTGATAGTCTGATACTTTTTGAAGCATTTGAGTAAAATAATAAGAAAACAATCAATAAAGTTTCCAAAATCAACAAAATTTAAAAATGAAAGCAAAAATCCCCGGTAAGGGTAAAATTAGTAATGTGCGGGGCGGTTCGACCCAAAAAAGACTATTCGCTTTGAGCTGTTCCGACCCAAGACTGTTCGCGTCGACGATCAATTAATCGCTTTATATCAAATATCACTTATTGACAGCAGCCATTAAATTCTTTATGATTTTTGTATGGTGTTGTATCATTCCATTTGATTCAATCTACATGTAGGGAGAGTCAGGAGTACTAGTTTTAACGCTTGCCAATATCGGTAACTTTTTAAATATAATAATAACAAGTATCTAGCTTTTTAAAAAAGCTTACCGTCTTTAGCAACAACCTTAAACAGTAAAGCTGATGTACATCTATCAGGCCTTAAATTCTTTTGAATTTCTTGATTTTGTATCTCTACATTAGCATTTTACTGGCATTAGCCCTACCACGGTTGTCGCTCAGTCATCTCCGTAAACTTTGACTGGCCGAGAGCTTTCGGCAGATTCCGTTACCTTCTTCAAACAAGAAAGGGGAAAAGAATTATAATTAACAAATTTTAAAGCCTGCAAGCAAGAAAAATCAAATTTTGTTTACAATGAAATTAAAGAGACCTTTTTAGTTATGGCTATAGAAGAATATAATGTATTTAGTTTAGAATTAATTACTGCTGATTTTGTTGTTCGTTTTGTCATTTTTTTTTAAGATTGAAAATCTTCCAAAATTGTTAAGTCGTACGAAAATTAGATCATCAGAAAGTTATCTCCCGTGCCTTGAACAGCATTTCAACCAATGAAATAATTGAAAGTCTCTCTCTCTCTCTCTCTCTCTCTCTCTCTCTCTCTGTTATTTCTACCAATCACAAAAGAGAGGAAGTGCATAGTCCGAAGACTCTAAAAAACTTCAGCTATATAATACCGTCTTCCAAGGAAGACGGTAATAATATAACAAGTATTAGCTTTCCTAAAAAGCTTGTCTGACGTGGTTTGCATAAATTTATGAAGCGGAAAGAAATAAAACATTATGTATTATTTCCTTCGTTCGATAATATATCTTCAAGAGACCATGCGTAAACAATACTGTACACAATAATGTACAAAGAACAATAAATTTAAGGTCCTGGCTCCAGGATCATGAAAAAAACTAAGACTTAAGTCATATTTTTAATCGCCGATAAAATATTTATTAATTATGGAATTTATTTCTTTATTTGCTTATAAAACATCTCTGTGTAAGCAATATTAAACTATATTTTATTTATTCAATTTGACAAAAACCACATGTGGCGCAAGTCATACATACAGTAAACAAATATAAAATATATAGTCACATAGATTTTCTTATATTACATGCATCACGTATGAAGTTACAAATATTTCTTGTAAAATTAACATCTGCTGGATTAAGAATTTCATAAGATATACATGTATTATTAAAAAGTGTACAAAATTCACTTCTTAGTTGTTTATATAGAGGACATACAAATAAAAAATGATGTTCATCTTCAACGACATTTTTACAATTAATACAAAATCTTTCTTCTCTTGGTATAATTGGGTTACAATATCTGCCAACCTCTATCTGTAATTTGTGAGCACTTATTCTCAATCGAGTCAAAAAAGAACGAAGATTCTTGGAAATGGAAAAATTTAAGTATGGTTGAATTTCAAGTTTGTTTAGATTCCCTCGACTTATTAACTGGCTGTAGAATGATAATTTGCCATTACCTTTTTCTCTGATATTTATTATATCCTTAAAAACTATATTCTCAAAATATTTTTTCAAATTATTTTCAAAATAATTTGATTCTGGTCTGTTGACCATGTTGACTTCTACAACATTTTATTATAAAAGAAAGATTATGATCGACTTAATCATGTTAATTAAGCTTAAGATGTTTCAAGATCCCGAGGCCAGCATTTTCAAGTAATGTTTTATATGTTAAATAACTTTTATTCTATAAATAGAATAAAATGAAGGTTGTAATTGATGAAATCAATGGAAGATCTTTGCCCAATCACTTAAGGCGCGTATAAACAGCGATAACAATCTTAGCAGAGCGATACACATGCTGACCATTCCCCTGCAGTTCTTGAAAGCTTTCATTGCTTCTCAAAACATCTGATGTACAACGATTCTCAACTTAACACAGTTACGTAATTGATATACGAAATTCTGAACTGAAGTATCTAGGAGAAGAATCAAGAAGATGCAAACTTATTTACAATTAATGACATATCGACATGATCGACCAAATATAATCGTTGGACAGGTGTCAAGTATAACACTTCAGCCAACATACAGATCTATTTATACAATAAAAAATTAAAAGCGAACTTGAATGAGACATTTTTTTTCTGTTTTCACTGCTTTTTTCTCAGGCACTGTAATATCAGTTTTTACAATACTGGGAGCAGGGCAACTAATAGAAAATATTTGACCACGTGCCTGATGTTTAGGTAATAGGAATTCAATGTCAAAGGTATAATTTTACTGAAAATAATCAATCAAATATTGAACCATAACATGTAAAATGACTTAATCTTTGAAATACATCACAAAAGTAACTGGGATTTATATAATAAGGCATTTTTATAGAGAATTGAAGCAGAGATGTTCAAAGATGAAAGCACGGATTACACTAAAGACAAAAACATTCGATCAGTAATGTAAATAAAAGCTCATTTCCTCCTGGGACGAACTACATGCGTCTTTGGAGATTATGTATGTATCGAAATTTCCACCATCGAACTATCTGAACAATTTCGTGGAACGACTGCATAAATAAGCCCTAGTTAAATCTAGTACTGTCTGACGCCGTGACGTCAGACAATTATGAATTTATAAAGCGCTAAATATTAATAAGTTAACTCTAAAGCGCTGTACAATAAAACGCAAGTAAACATAATTTAAAAGCTATGAAAACTTATATAAAATATTAACCCATACTCATATATGTGTTCGAAATTATAACATTAAAATTATAAAATTACACACAAAATACAATTACTCCGTTAATAAAACTCAATATAGGAACATCATTTGTGATTTATGATTTGCTGCTAAAAATTGAGCACCTGATAATTAAAAACTATTCTATAAAAATGCGTCTTTAATTGTCTTTTGAAAATATCCGGACTGGCCTGCTAATTATTTCATTAGGAAGGTCGTTCCACAAAAATGCTGCTGCCCACCCTTACCGAAAATATTGCCTTCCTGCAAATATTTGCTGCAAGTCTGCAGCAAACATGGCTGCAAACTTGCAGCAGACATTGCTGCAAGCTTGCGGCAATGTAGCAAGAAAGCCCGACAGTCTATTCAAAGCCTTTTGTGTTTGCAGCAAGTTTGCGGCAAGTCTGCAGCAAGCTTGCAGCAAACATTTTACCATGCAAATGAGGTTTGCTGCAAGTCTGCAGCAAACACTGGATTTTCCAAATATAGAAACCTTGCTGCAAGCTTGCCGCAAACATTGCTGCAAGCCTGCAGCAAACATTGCTGCTAACTTGCAGCAAACAATTTCCTTATGGTTTTGGCACATTCCTGTGTACAAGCAGCAAGTTCGCAGAAAGCCTTTGTCCTGACCGAAATCTTTTAAGTTTAGAGAAAATCCACCACGTTTCTGAAATGATGCAATCTTTTGCAGTTTTGATAAGTTCTCTTTATGTTCCTAGACAAAGCTTCCATACTCTTTTTAAATTTAAGTGCATGAAATAGCTTTTTTATATCAACAGAACATTAAGAAATTTACGTATAATTTCAATTGAACCGTGATTACAGTTACTAATTCATTTGAAAACATGTAACTGATTTGGGTCCATTAAATTAATACATTTAAGAAGTATAAATATGTGATATAAAAATGAGGACTGAAATTCATAGTAAATAGATTTAGATTTGACCTAGCAGTTACACTAGTTACTCAGACCTGTTTTTAAGAAACATTTTTTTTTCATATCAAAATAAAACAAAATCAGATCTTACCAATTAGATATCATGCATGCCAATGAAAACCTGCATCCAGAGTTTTGCACTTTTAATCACTCAGAATGGTATATATTCCTTGCAAAATACTGAAACATCTACACCTTCTATTCAAACAATTCAAAATGGCCAGTTCTGTGTTGACCCAGTACAATCTGCTTCTCATTGGCTGATTTGACTTGTTTACTGTTCGTGCGAATTTCCTGCGAACATTCAATTCATGAAATGTTTCCTGCAAACTTGCTGCGAACATTAAATTGGCGTGTATGTTTCTTGCAATGTTCCTGCAAACATGTTGGGTTCCTGCGAATTTGCTGCAAGCTTGCAGCAATTGCTGCAATGTTTGCTGCAAGATCGCAGCTAGCGGCAATCATCTGCGAACAAGAAAATTTTCTTCCTGCGAACAATTTTGTTTGCTGCAAGCTTGCAGCAGACTTGCTGCAGGCCTACAGCAAACATATCAGTTTGGTAAGGGTGCAACCAAGTCGACGTTCGCCATATGTCTTCGTCCTGATTTTTTGAAAAAAAATATTTTTTAAAAAAGAAGAATTATCGTTCTTGAATTCCACTTCCGCTTTCGCGCGTTGCATTAAGGGAAGGAAAACCCTCGTTTGGGGGTATACCCCCGTTTGAGGGTTCGACTAGACTGCTTAGGAACAACTACCCGTGATGTTGACTCAGATCGCAGTGATCTGGTAAGCTTGTATTCCATGATAAGACCTTTGATATAAGATGGAGCTAACCCGTGTAAGGATTGGTAGACATATGTCAAGATTTTATATTGTGGACGAAAAGAAACGGGTAGCCAATGAAGATCAGCTAGGATAGGTGTAATATGCTCCCGTTTCGATGTTCTTGTAACTAAACGAGCTGCCGTGTTCTGGA